AACAAGCAGGGAACCTACTTTAGCAGCAGTCCCATTGCACCGTTGACCGGGAGCCCTCTAAGTGCCTACTGGAACCCCCCCCCCCCCCCCACATTTCCATCTTGCACCTCCAACTCCTGTCTCAGCCCTAAGCCGCCTTCCAGAGCCAGTACTTTATCTCCCTCCAGCACTCCAAATCCCCTACCCATTCATAGCCCCCTTCTGCAACCAACTCCCTCAAAGAGCCCAATATCCCGCACCTGCAACCCAGTCTCTTGCCCCAGCCCAGAGTCCCCACTGCACCTAACCTTCCTCACAGAACTAGCACTTTGTATTCCCCTTGGCCCTCGCCCAGAGCCTGCCCCCCTTCTCCACACCTTATCCACCGCCCAGTGAGAGAGAATGTGGGAGAGAGAGTAAAGAAGAGGAGGAGGATGGAATGAATGGGGTGGGGCTTCGTTGTTCCCTTAAAATCAAAAAGTGATCTTGGGTATAAGGATGTGAATGGGTAACTCTTTACCTGTTTAACAGGTACCTAGGAGCAGCCCCCTGCCTGTTGCCTGCTTTGTGCTTAGGGCTGCCAGCTCTGGCTGCCGACAGCCCCAAGCATGGGGTAGGGGTATTCAGCAGCCGCAGCCCCAATAATACAGTAGGGGGTGGGGGATGTCAGCCAGCACCCCCAGGTGCAGGGGTAGGTGGCAGCAGCCAGCAGTCCCAGGCGTGAGGGTGGGTGCAGCAGCTGGCAGCCATGCGTGGGGGCACCAGGAGGAGGATCCTGCTTAATTGGTTAACTGGTTAATCCTAAAGTTTAATCAGTAACCTTATTAAGTCAGACTTAACAATTCTACTTAAATGTAAAAACTTTGGACACCACTGCTATACATTAAGCTGAGAATGTCTTGATCTGCTTTCAGTGGACATGGAGAACAATTGATCACATCCTCTTGATAACAGCCCTAATGTATCTGAAGTAGGAATTTCATTATGTGGACTACACAATTAACCAATAAGTCTGGGTTTATAGGTTAATTTTGTTGACTACAGTAATTCCCCTGCTGCATCTGGTTTTTAAACTGACTCTCCTCGCGGACTGGCTCTGCCTGCCACCCTGTGCTGCTGCCTCTAATAAAGAGGCAACAGTGCAGGGTGGAAGGGGGCTCCCCCGAGAGTGAGGCCAGAGCAGTGGAGTGGGGGGACACAGGAAGGAATGTTGTAGTCAACAAGGCAGTGGGCTCCCCTGGGAGTGGGGCTGGGAGTGCACTGGCTGCTGGCCCTGCCCCCGGGTGCTATCGAATTGTTGTGTAATCACTAAGATTTCACACGGTTACACGACTATTCAATAGCATGAAATCTAACATTCCTAATCTGAAGATCTGTTGGTTTTTTTTCTTTTCTCAAGAACATATATATGGGAACTCATCAGGGCTTGTTCCTGGAACTTCAGAAAAAAATAACATAATGAAAACATACAGAAATGACTGGCTATTATGAAATAAAAACTAATTGAACCTTGAAATAATGACTTAATTATTTAGAAAGTTTGTCCTAATGTGTTAACAGTCATGTTTTAAATAGATTAATTAGAATTAAGTATTTAATTTGCATATAAAGCTTTGTTTCTGTATATTGAGAGTTTAAATATGGGACAGAGGTGATGGGAAGGGTTTCTACCAATATTACAATTAATTGGAGTGGTGATTTGGCCGATTTTGGAATTTTTATCAGGGAACTTGAGTCTGGATATTGTAACTTTATGGGATTGCTGAAAAGGGAGATTGGAAGAGATTCTTAAACAGTGTATCAGTGAAGTGTTGATGAAGACTTTCAGTTATAAATTTTTGTAATAAAACTGACTCACTGATTAACTTTTACTAGCTCTGAAATTGAGAGTTTACATCTAAACTCTCATACTTCTTACCAGCAATAGTCAAGGCTTGTGCAGTATTCTGTTACACATTTAACTTTATCTTTCTTATTAAGGATATTAACTAGCAGTTAATTTACTAGTCGAAGTCGATAGGCACGTCCGCGTTCCTCCTTTGAAATGTACAAGAGCCTCCACAGGGACCATGTACATTTCAGAGGAGGAATGCGGAACTCCGCATGCAACCAGGGGCCAGTTGGAATTGTGCTACATTGTCCCATTTACTAGTGTAGGCAGCTTTCTACCTAGCCACTCAGTCCCCATTCATAGGTGCATAGGCACCTGATCCAGGATTTGTAGATTTCAGATCTCTTCACACCTCAACGGTAGGCATTACAATCCTTGAGCACTTAGCCTGCAGAATTTAGGCATAGAAGTCACTGAAGCACTTACGAAAATTTTACCCCAGATCTAGGCCTGGCTTGGTGTGTTGTGGGATCTATGAAATTTGACCTGAGGTTTAATAGATTTGACACTTGTTACCCTTGGAATGAGAAATTTAAAAAAGTAGTCAAAACAGTTAATTAAACTGATGATGAAATGGTCCCCCTCCTGGATAAACACATCAAATTTGTTTGTTAGCTTTTAAAATAAACCTTGATTAGACAAATGCACCAACCTCAAACATCTGTCTCCCCAATCTCAAAATTAGCTTATTGTCCCTATATATTTTCTGTGTAGGATGTGGATGTTCTGAAAACTACTGCACTAGCTATATTTGAGGAATATTTTCATTCAGTACAGTTATTGATATTTTGTGGGCATTTTGGGCCCAGACAAGTTCTTATTCACATCAATATTTTTTTTGACATTAACTGAAGTTGATTATATTATATATGTGTGTGCCTATATTAATTGGCTTCTGCAGAGAAAGAACTTAAGGCTTCATTAACTGAAGGCTTACAAATCTTCCTTTAGCTCAAGTTGTAGAGATGTTGGTTGTGGAGTTGTAGGTTTAAGCACCCTGATATTAGCTCCTGATCATCTTTTGAGTGACACAGTAGAGGACCTTATCATCTGATGAGTATCTCTGAAGGACTACAGAAGAGATATAAACTCCATGTTGTTAGCGCCTTTGTGGTTTTGTGATAACTACCTGCATGCTGAGACTTCAGGTTGTCAGGGTTCAGTTTGCAACACAAAATAAACAAGCTAGATGCAAGTTTTCCTTATAAGTTTTCCTTTTACCGTAGGAGCAAACTCATTGTTTTAGGAATAGTATATTTTAAAAATGCTTGTAGGATAGAGTAATTGCATGATTTTCTCTGAGACTGAGTTAGAAGACCAAGTTCTTATTCCTAGTGCCACACTTGGAGCATGTCTAGCAGCAGGGTAAAAGTCAAATTAAGATTTGCAGCTTGAGCTATGTCAATTGCATTTCTGAAGTCGAAATAGCTTAATTCAGCTTTGGTACTGTCTATGCAGCAGGAAGTTGAAGGAAGCACACTCTTCCTTTGACTGCCCTTACTCCTTGTGAAATGAGGGTTAGAGAAGTTGGAGTAAGAAGTTCTCCAGCTTGACATTATTTTGAAATTATGGCTTTCTGTGTAGACTTTTGAAATAATGTCAGTTATTCCAGTATAACACTGCTGTGTAGACATATCATCAGTGTCCTACCCATGAAGGGTGGGACATTAGATGGAGTATCTGTGTTCCTTTCCCCCAATTTCACTTATAATATGTTGAATTAGTCTACTAATTACTATGCTTTGTGTCAGTACTGCATATGTGTGAAAGGAGTAGAAATATCTTTCTGCTGTTTTTTTATGGCTGCCTTTATATTACTGTTTGTGTCTGATTTATTGCTGTTTTGCCATGGGTTTATGTCTGTTCCTTACTTCTAAAAAGAAAAATATCAGAGCTCAAATTTCACAATATATATGTCAACTGATCTTTTCAGGGCCTTAAAATGGGGAACACAAGTAGCGAACGAGCTGGAATGGAGCGCCATGGGGGCCATAAGACACCCCGGAGAAATAATTCTGGAGGAGCCA